ATCTACCAAAATATTTTTATTATTGTATGCACGTTTCCTCGTACGTTTTCCTCCAACGCTGATTACTTGGCAAATCAGAAATTGAAATTATGGTGAATTTTGCCGGTACTTTAAAGTTCGGATTTGAATTCAGCCTGCCCGAGAATGGAGGCTTTGAAATCAATATTCTCACTAATATTATAAACGCGAAAGTTTTTATGTTTGGATGGATGTTTGTTACTCTTTCACGCAAATACTACTGAATGGATTTTAATGAAACTAATATATATATATATAATACATCCGAATATCACATAGGCTGTAATTTATATACATATTTTGTTACGCCTTCAGCCTATTCTACACAGACGTAGTTGCGGGCAGCAGCTAGTATTATATATTAAGCTACGACGGCGTTGTTAATTATATGTGTAATCAAAGTGATTTCATCAGTATTAATGTAGAAAGAAGGCTCTAATGTTAATAAAGACTATTTTTATACCTGCCTTGTATTTTATTCCAACACATACATATACACTCATACATAAATATGCATAATAAATTATATACTATTAATTATTTAGTTTTATTAGTTTTTCCGTTAGTCTACACGATTGAACTCTGTATGGAGTCCTAATGATTGCTTGCTTAAAAAACGTATTCAATGAGTGTACTTTCAATAAAGGGAGTGACAAAAGACCAAACGGCTCACCTTTATAGAATACTCGCAATAGCAGAGGAGATACCAAAATGTCGCCGGTACTGCAGTAAGGAATATATTCTTTTCTAAGGTCCCTACCGCCGGTTTCAATATTCGATCTACAATCTGTAGATCGAATATTGAAACCGGCGGTACCAAATGTATCTACGAGATGTGGGGTGAGTTCCTATGCCGCTGTCGGAAAATATTGTTGTAAGAAAATTAACGTATTTTTCTAGTGAACGTATTTTTAAAACATTTATTTGTAAACGTAGTATCGTATATTTATATATACGTGTGAAAAATACTCGCACGTTTCACGAAATTTTCATGACATGCACTGTGGTGTCTTAACAACTACCAAGAAGAAAATATGTTGGATTATGTCGCGATATGCGGTGGCAAAATTCAGGATAACGCGTTAACAATACTTCATGACCGCATCTCTTTTCCTTCGAGAAAAGTTTTTCCAAAGCAGATTTCACTTAAGGACGTATCGTACATAAAATGGCGCGTACACAGACAACTCGTTGAATTAAAGATGGTATGCCGTCGAGGTACGCGCCGATTGCATGTCGCTGGGATATAAAACGAAATTGCTTAGGAGATGCGGAGAGATTTAAAGTTTTAGTTCAACTATTGAAGCTTATTTTCTCCTTGCATAATTGTGAATGAACAAAAGAACTATAAAGCGTATGAAACCAAAGACAAAAAGAAAAAAACTAGGCCACCATGTTCAACTTTGTACAGTTGATTGAGAAAATCATCTGAATATAACGTTCAGCCGCCAAGACCCAAAGCGAAGAAGCTGGTACCAAGCGATGACACTGATGACGCAAATGCTTGGTAGGTAAAAGGCCACCGTCCATTGTACTTGTAAAATAACCACCTTCATTTTAACTTTTAGAAGTTTATTTGATTTTAAGTGCATAACGTAGTATTATACATGTACAAGTATATGTGTGAATAACAAAGCACAGGAAAATGTGCAAGGTGCATAAGTACCCTACAAAGACATTACAAATAACGTTTATATTTAAGATAATGCTGAATTTTTTTTTTTGGATTTTGATAAAAAAAAGTTTTTACCGGACATTATCATTCGGAAAATATGCCCCCAGTGTGTAAAAAATTGCAAAGTATGCGGCAACCGGGAATGGATGAGACTTGGCTTAGGTTAAGTCAGTTGTAATTATTTTTAGATGTAAACCTTAAAATAATTATAACTGTTAAAGTATTTTTGAGCATATTTTTCGGTCTCCCGCTTGCGATATCCACAACTCGTAACGAAACAGGGGAAAACATCCCATAAACGTAAACAAAGGAAGCAGCCGCGACGGAGTACACAATCGCCGGGTCATTTCTCAATTCCAAAACCCTGTCCAATCTAGCTGGCAGTTACGGGGATGCCGTATTCAAAACAATCCAACACTTGGAGCGGAAACCGATCCTCGCGGGTGCCGTTCCGGCGCGCTTTACTTTTTCACATTATGCCGCCTCCCCGCCAGCGTTGCGATCTCCATTACCTAAGTGTTTATCTTCATGAATGTTTCTTCCGTACGTATTCCCCATATTGCCTTAGCATATTATCTGTGGACTTTAATAACGACGCCTCCCGCCCGGGCCGTGTTCCCCGAATTGAATCCCTAATTTGATTTTTGAACGCTTGAATGTGTATAATCATTTTTTTTCGGATGCGACCGCTCCGCTGTTTCGTCTGAATGTTTTCAATTTTACACTTTTTAACGGTAATCGTCTGGACAAAACTTGTTTAAAAAAGACATATAACGTAAAATCTTAGTTTGATTGGTTTACTTTGATAAATATGCAATGATACTACAAAGTATCACGCTTACAATATAACGACAACAGTAAGGCAATATTAAGCACTAAACAGTACATTCTTAATTGCCCCACATCAGTAAGAACTGTTTACTTTACTAAAGTATAGGTAAAATAAATAAGAAAATTAATTAACGCAACAAAATCATCACACAAATGTAACAGACTATACGCAATAAATGTTTTTATTTGTATTAGTAATAATTTATGTTTTTTGAAAAATTTCGTACCGTTAGTAGGTAAATGAATATTATAATAGTAAAATAATATCAATTTTCTTTTTCTCACCATTGCAGGACAAATGTGTTTAACGTCAATGCACAGTCCCATAAGCGTCGTTATGTAGAGTTATAGTGTTTATACATTATTTTCAACCTACTTCAAGAAATGAGGAGGTTAATATATTAAGTTTTTAACTTTAAGTGCTGATTTATCACGTGCTCCGCGGTGAAGGAAAACATCGTGAGGAAACCAGCATATTTTCGAAATAATTACAAATAAATATATATTTCGAAGATATGTGAAGTCCGCCAATCCGTGAAAATGGTTTGAGTACGTAGCAGTACTACGCGAGCCGTGATAGCTCAGTGTCCGGGCGCTCGCCTTTAATTCAATATACTCAGTGGCATATTTTCGAAATAATTACAAATAAATATATATTTCGAAGATATGTGAAGTAGTGCCAATCCGCAGTGGGGCCGCGTGGTGGACTATGCCATGATACCCTCTGTATAGAGGAGACCTTTGCCCAGCAGTGGGAGATGCATAGGCTGTTACTTTACTTACTACTTTTACGTAGCAGCAGGGCGACGTACGTCTATGTTAGCGTCACCGAGTGGCTTCTGCAGTTGCATGGAAGGGCAGGTTACCAGCGGGAAACCACGGCCTCACGGAAGGCCGGCGTGGAGTGGAAGTTATAAATTTGTGTTTTGACTGGTGAGTCATTAATCGGTCCCCAATCTTTTAATGCGTTACCATGTATTTGTCATATGATGACGTCTTGCTAACATTTAAAACAATGAGCCCGGGATACCTCACTCAAGAGCAAAATGAAAAAATATAATTATGAAGAAACAAAAGTATAACAATACGTAAAATTGAGGTATGGCGGCCGCAGTTTTCATTTAATGTTTAACAAATAGAGTTTTATAGAATTAATTTATGTAAACTATTGTATAATATAACATTCAGATTTTAATATACAAATTACTGTGAGTTATTTTAGTCAACATATACGGCCTTTGATCCATCCTGCTGTGGCTTTAATAACATTCGTGCCGATTTGAATTTCAAAGATTTCGTCGTATCTTTGGTGGCTTGATTGTATATAAGTAGCTAGTTGTATACTGGTGGAACAAGTTAGGTAGTAGATTAGATACTTCCAATAAAAGCTGGTAAATATACTCTGCCTTCTGCTTTCATAGTATTCGGGTTTGAGAGAAAACCACCTTATTCTGTTTTTTTTTTTTCTTTGTTACGTGGATAATTTTGTCATAAATGCCTCGTCTTAATTTAGACCCTTCCTATTCCAAAGTTTAAAGATAATAAACATCAATTTATTATTTTCGGAGACATTACGGAAATTACGAACGTACCTATTTCATAAACTTTAAACACAGAATCAGGGTTCATTCATTTTTAGTATAGGTTTTTTGATAAATCTTATGTTATGTTAATGGACGTTATCAGCTGCTGATTATTGCATATTATATGTACAGTGGAGTTTGTTTAAATCGATTGTCAGGCGCGATTTGTCGAAAATATCGATGTGTCAAAAAGGCTTTGAGAACCCTAGCCTTTCGATCTTTTTTTAATGTGAAAAGTTGCCAAACGAGCATGCGGTTCACCTGATGTTAAGTGAATACTGCCGCCCATGTACATCGGCTACACCCGAGGATTACAGATGCGTTGATAACCTTTTGAACATTGGACTCCGGCTACCTCACTCACCAGACAAAACGCTAAAGTATTTATTATACCTCCACTATACGCTGGTCTACTGTGAGGTCGTGGTACTAACACGGACGAGCCTGCCCATTCGTGCAACAGCTGAGGCTGCTGCGTGGCCCTAGCAAAGTTTAAGTCTCGCTCTATAAAATGGTGGTAACGTATCTGTTCCTACGGGTGTTGACGATGCCCATAAGCGGCGGTCATCAGTTAACATCTGGTGAATCGCCAGTTTCCTTGCCACCTTCTCGCATAAAAACAGCCAAGTGCTAGTCAGACTCGTGCACAAAGGGTTCCGTACCGTTATCTTTTAAACGCTAAACACTTAAAAACAACGGTGCATGTTCCCTTTGGATACGGAATCCTAATTAGTGAAGCAAATTAACCTATACACGTTCATTGCTGGTGGAGACATCATCTACGGAGTGTGTACGGACTGCTGCTTAAGAAGCGAAAACATCGTGCAAAGGCAAGCGTCCGAGTGTATCGTTGCCAATTATAATTGCTGTCGGTTTGCCCTCGCGTCCTGATTATGCCCGCTTCCCGGGGATTTGTTATGACCGCGCTAATTGCTCGCATCCCGGTCGAGGTTCGTTCCTTCCTCATTAAGGGGCGATTGGGCGCTGGTGACGTCACGCCGCTGATACGTTCGACCCGGCTGAAAGTCATCCGCGTCGCTCGCTACGTACTCTGTGACTGCACCGACGGGCCATTGCAGAGTGGTAATTATGCTCAACGCTTCCAAGTATAAGGGATTAAACTCTTTTGTGTTTACTTACCTAAACGTAGGAACTATAGACAAGTTTTAAATAAGTTTCTTTATTGTTGTGGCTCATTTCTTTGTCTTAAATTGTCATGCGACAGTTTAATTGAACGTTTCATTGGACAAAAATCTTCATGTCGTTTTTTGATTATGTAAGTAATGTACAGCGTTATCGTGAATGAGTCGCATTTTTGATTATTTCACTGACTTTGAGCGGCTAAATTATAGAAATTGGACGAAATTTTTTTTTTTTCTATTTTATTGATTATCTTCGTTTTCTTTTGATATAAAATCGCTCGCTTCTCATGTATAGACAAATATAAACTCGTATAAATAGTAATCCAAAATGTTAATGCATATAACGCTGACATAATACATACTACAGATAAATAAAATTGGATTGTTTGGAATATTAAAATAACCGTTTTACAACCTTACTTATACCAAAATAAGATTTTATACAATTTTGTCTGTCTGTTTGTTCCGGCTCATCACTGTAACGGCTGGACCGATTTTGAAGAGTCTTTCACTGGCGGATAGCTGATGTAATAAGGACTAAGGCTACTTTTATTTCAAAAAAGTAAATTTAATTTATTTTAAATTACAGCGAGTATTTAATAAATTTCAATATACATAATATTCAAAGCATTATTTAAACGCTTCTTTCAATTCAATATGCGCTATGCAACTCAAGATTAGGTCCACATTTTTAGTTTTCAGTAACATTTTTAGAAAAATGGTTAGGTTTCAAAAAATACTCAAACCTAATAATACAAACGTTATCTGTTTCTAAACGATAAAATAAATTTTACACGAAATCTTTCCCGACTTGAACGGAAAAATTGTGAAAATGTATATGTTAAATGGTGACCGTGTCTCCAGATGACACTAGATAAAACTTCCATCGAAGATCATCAATAAATACGTATCACTTTATAGTGTCAATTGCTACGGCGAGCGTTCGTAAACTTTCGGTTGGACCCAATAAAATCTCCGATCACGCGACGCGAGGAAACAGTAAACTCCGCCGTGCACTCCCAAATAACGCTGGGACGTACCGAGCACCTGACGCTAAACTGATAACAAGTTGCCCGTAAGCTACGGGATCACTTAACCCTGGCCCGTTGATTAGAGAAAATCAAGCCTCTTCGCCACCTGAGACCGTTACTTTGAAAGTAGCGATCGGTACCTTATTAAGGTAATACTCCCCCTATTGCAACGATCGCAAAGAGAATGATGTGATGGCTTCCGTTTCTAGGAAAATGAAACAGTTGTACATAATAAATTATTACATTTACGCGATTACTTATAACTTAAACAACATATAAGAAATATAAGAAAGTATAAGATTACTTATAACTCTATATATATGGATTAATCGCGATTATTTTTACGTTTTGAAACCTTTACAACGTTCATGGTCACGGGACAGACTTGTACAAAGTTATTTATAAAACAACCTGTGAACACGACTGTGTGGAATTTAAAGTAAATAAAATTTCTAAAATAAAAGTAGCCTAAGTAACTCCTTATTACATAAACTATCTGCCAGTGAAAGTCCCGTAAAACTCGGTCCAGTCGTTTCAGAGATTAGCCGGAACAAACAGATAGACTAACAGACAAAAATTGTAAAAAATAATATTTTGGTATATGTATACATCTACTAAAAAGTAAAAACCGGTTATTTTAATATTACAAACAGATACTCCAGCTTCATATATCTGTATAGTACATGTATATGTATAAATGTACAAAGTTATTGTAAAATGTACAGTTCGAAATTATTTTATCCAAACGCATAACTAACACCGTTTCCGGAAAATATGAAGCTTTATGATCGTCCTTCTGGACTTATTATAACTAGGTCAGTGTGTAACATGTGAATCATGTTGCTATTTGGTTGGTTTTTTACGATGTTTGGTTAATTATTGTTGGTTAAAGTGCATAATATCGGCGGTGACAGAACGCTGTCGCACATGTCGCACCGTAATTTATTTATTTAATCTAATTATTTACTTACTTCGTTAATTATTGATTCATTTACTTATTTCTTTATTAATTTACTTATATAATGGTGGGTTCATGTTCCACGACTGGCTTTTTTTTTTTTATGCGAAAAGTTGTCAAACGAGCAGACGGTTCACCTGATGTTAAGTCAATACCGCCGCCCATGAACATCTGCCACACCCGAGGGTTACAGATGCGTTGACAACCTTTTGAAAATTGGGCTCCGGCTACCTCACTCACCAGACGAAACGCGAAAGTATTTGTCATACTTCCACTTTACGCCGGTCTTCTGTAAGGTCGTGGTACTTACCCGGACGGGCCTGCCCATTCGTGCAACAGCCGAGGCTGCTGTGTGGCCCTACCACCGTAGAATGGCTCCTCCGAATAAGGCGCGCTGGAACATAAAGCACATCATTCTATCTTTCGCAAGGGCATCGGACTCCCTGGTGCCAGTGTTAAGTAGTAACAGATCCCCCGGCCCCTTGCGGTGAATCTGGTTTGTGGCTCCACCACTCACCACATATCGGCTGCTGTAGAGTAGGGAAAATGAAGGGAAGGGCAAGGAAGTTTTTTCGCCAATGAGTAACAAACACACAAACTTTCGCGTTTATAACATTATAAGAAATAAGTAATTTACTTTTGACCTTAACAAGCGCTTATAAGATTCCACGTTAAGTACCAGTTACGGATCTAGAATTTTCTATTGGAGAGATTAGATATTGATTCGGCATTGAAATTTTATAAAATCAAAAGAATCTACTATGAAAATTTTACGATGATTGCATGCAATAAGATACATTATTAAAATGATACCGATGTAATGAGGAAGGATACGTATACATTTCGTGTTATTTATTGTGTTATCAAGCTGTTCATATTTTTATATATGACATATAGAGATTCGTTAACGACCAGTTAAAAACGATATGTTAATATATCAACGCTTATCGTTCATGAAAAAATAAGAATGCTACGCGATAAAATCAACGGTTGCTAACTGGGACTTTGTCATTTCTTTCTAATGATAAGACTTTTTGTTTAATATTATTACCTTTTTTTACAAAATATATACCTTGTTTTACTTTACCTTCTTTGAAAATTACCCTTAAAACACGACCCTCTAATGATGTGCTTCATCTCTTTAGCACAAAACGTAAAAGTTTCAAAACGCAATTGTTACAATGGTTCCCGCGTAGCGAGTATGGTGGTCTGCGGTTTCCCGCGAAGATTCCCATTAACTCAATTAGACTCCGAAGCAGGGCTAGGTAAACCTCGTACGAGGCGGAACTGTGTTGCTGTTGCGGAAAATAAGCTTCTTCGAAATTGAATTACGTCCCGCTAAAACGTAACATAGGTTTGCTTGCTGGACTAAGCTCCGTTGGAACTTTGTTTTTAAATTACACTTATGTGCTGCCGGCAACCATACAACCGAGTTGTCTGGGAGAGAATGCCAAAAAGACAATAAGTAATTCTTGTTTAAGGTAATTGTAGTAAGAGAAGTAAAATAAATATTTTTTTTTATGAAACTAGTCACTTATCGAAAGCAAGCGTGTTTATTTTCATTTAATTTCTTTTGCTTATAATTGCATGTAGGTAATTGATTTTTTTTTAATTTAAGTGATTATTTTGCTAGTAAACGCGTTATCAATTTTTGAAAGACGTCTGATTTTTTGATTCTGCCAATACACACGAACAACGTTATTCACGTGATGTGTCGACTATAGCCTGGTGGAATAAGATGCAGGAATGTGGCGATGCGCTGAGTGAGGTAATTGCAGCCCCTTCCCTTAAGGATTGGTAAGGCAACTGCAGCGCCATTGTTCTGCTAGGTACATCAAATTGCTGTCATACTGAGCGTTGTTCACGGTGGCGACAACACACAACATCTAGCGCATCCGAAAACAACACACAAGTTCTACTCTGACTCGGTGAAACCAACACAACTTGTACACAAGTTACATCCGGCAGAGCGCTTCTTACCGCCCCTAGCAGGTTATCACAACAATAGCCATCAGCTCTATGTATCGATTAATCACCTACGCTACTAGATAGCGAAAATGATAGATATTTGAACGAGAGATATTATTTTTTGTTACTGTGTTACGAGATATTATATCAACTTTATAAATTATATAAAGTTAGTAAGTAAAGTAGAGTAGTTAAGTAAAGTTGATCAATACGTTTTACAGCTACAATTTTTTTTATATTTAGGACTTCGTATATTTAAGCAATTTGACAGAAAAACGTTTTCTCACAGCGTTCACTTCCAAAACCACTTGGTCGGTTATAAATTAAATTAAATTTTATTTAACATTATAAGGTCAAGCGATTGTTTATAACAAGTTTTAAATCATCCCTAGACTTATATCATTAAGGTGACAGAGACAGCTTATGATTCAACTTTTAAGTTAGTAAAGTTATTAAACATTGAGTATTTTTTTAATAGCACTATAATTTGAACTCACGATTTTAATTATTAAATTTGACGCCCTCAATCAAAAATCAATAAAACGTTAGCTTAATAGTATTAAGCTATCAAAAAGAACTTGCACTCTAACACAAAACCAGAAAAAAAGCTAACCATCGCGCGCGCATGTGTTATTTGTATCACAATATAATAACCGGTCTAGTCAGTCAATCTTCCGATGGCTCCCTTTTTACTAACACAATACCATATCAATTTACCGCCGATACGCCAAATCGTCTCCGTTCAATAGCTTCTATTCTTTTGGAAATAAAGTTCACAACACGGCAACGAGTACTTTCATGCGTGCACCATTATCTTTGTCTCAAGTAAACAAACGTGCCACCTAATGACGTCATTGAGTACCCTTGAGGCACTCCCGAGTATTAAAATGATAAACGTAGCCCGCTATCGAGTATGGAAATCTCTCAATTTATTATACGATAGGTCGTTATCCTATTAGGTAAACAAAATTTAGGGGGTTAATAGAGTCATCTCGGTTATTAAGTGTAAT